GAGAAGGTTGGGGGAAATGGGGGTTGTGTGTTTGCACTCTGGGTTGGCAAGTCCTGTTAGAATTCAGTGTGTGGCTTGGCTGTGCAGTGGATATACTTGTGTAGACATGTGGTGTCCATGGATGGCAAGGAGTTCTTGTTGAACTTACACCAAAGTGCGTGGAGGGCTCGGGAATAAAATATTCCTGCAGTCAGCCAAAGCTCTCCAGCTGTGCTGAGATCTGCACTGCAGAAATGGCTGTGCTGGTTGAGGCTTTACCTCTGCCCTGGTGCTCGAGGATGCCTCACAATGTGCATTGTCAGAGCAGATTACAGGAGCATTTCTCATGTGTTTTCTTGCAAAGTTGTCCGGTTTAGGACAGACCAATTTATATCCTCTCAGTTAAACTATTCCAGCCTTGTTGTCTTGTACCTCATAGGGTCAGGAATCCAACTGCCACCACCTGAAGCAGATGAAGTCCCCCAGGTGTGGCAGAGGCAGTGACCTCCAGCACTGGGCTGTATAGAGCTGTATACTGGGCTATATAGGCTATATATGACCACGAGCCACCAAAATGGCAACAGCCTTGATGCTGCCAGCAGCCTCAGCTTGAAGGGTCTGTGAAATACAGGGAGAAGTGTTGAGACTCCACAGCCTGTGCCACGTACCTTGGATGAACTCCAGGTACAGGTATCTCTTCTTACACGCTGTCGTGTTCGTGTGGGGAAAGAGTCTGTAAAATGGCAGTTTGCCTTTGCAGTTTTATAGGACCTTTCAAAGTACAGGGCAGTAGAGAAACACAATCCAGTGGGATTGGCCCTTGGCTTGTCTCAGTCAGTTCTCCATGAGTAACTCGGTGAGTTGTGTGACTATTCCTGGTTTTCCTTTGCTGTCTGTGAAACAGGGTGGCAGTTGAGCTGTGTAGATGCATCTGATGGAAGTGGATCAGGTGAGTGTGTCCTGGTGTTCCTGCTCCTGCTGCTTCCTTGCAGGGTGCTCAGCAAGGTGCCTTCCCAGTTATTTTCCAGCAAGTAGCAGTAAGGGAATTAAGAATTAAAACTTGGATCAGCAAACTGATCATCATTGTTTAGGCTTGGAGATAGTAGCAAAGGAGCTGAAGGGATCCCTACAAACCTATCAGGAATTAATGACAAGATTCCTGGTCAGTGGGAGTTAAGGCAAGCAAAGATTGATTTGAGATCCTTTGTCTCTTAGGGTGTTAATTTGGGCTCAGAGAGAGGGCTGGAAGGAGGAGATTTGGATACCAAAATCTCGTTTCTATTTGCTGTACCTCCCCTCAATTAATATAGATTAATATTGATTAACAAGAAAATCACTATATTTTTGTGAGAAAAATGCTTGTGGCAGTCTTCTGCTTGAATACAGAAATAAAAGACATTGTTGGTACAAGAATAAATGGGGATCTACAAGGTTTTGTGTACATTTAATTAGGAAAGTGGAGGGAGGAAAGTATGTGTATTAATTTCGGTTTTAAACAACAGCAAGCACTAAGACAATTTGGGATGTGATACAGGGTGTCAGTGAAATTCAGTACCAAGCACACTCCCTTTTTGATTCTGTCAGTTCTTAACTGTCTCCATTGTCATTTTAACGTGAGAGAGCAAACCACGATTTAGATCCCCCCTCCTTTTTTTCTCTCCAGTGAATACCTAATCATCACACTGATTTTTGACTGGGTATTGACTGTGAGACTTCCTGGCCTAATTTTTCTTTCTAGCTATAATAGCAATATCTGGTGATTTATTTTTTTTTTTAAGCTGAGATATACAGACTGTTCAGACACGCAGCTGAATTTTGGGTTAATTGAGTAATAGTCAGCCAAGACCCAGGGCTTCTCCTCGAGGTTAACATACAAAGTGATAGGTCAGAAAGCTCAGGGTCTGTTGCCCTGTGAGATACTAATACCCCCCCAATTAATTTCATTTTCATGATTGCATCATCTTAAATTGAGGTGAAATCAAGGATTTTTCCTTCCCCCCCCCTGCTTCAGCTGAGTTTGACTGGCACAACTTCTGACATGGATGTGTGGAGGCTGGTGCTGCGGCCAAGCCAAATCCTTTCCTTTGTTCTCAGGGCCTGCTGCTGCTGCTGATAAAGTGGTCGGCGCATGGCATTATGTCTTATTACATTTTTGATGCAGACTGCAAAGAAACGGGTAAACTCACCATGGTTACCACGCTCTGTCACTTGGCAGGGCACGGCGCACTCAGCGATGGCCTCTAGTGTCTGCAGCACAGCTCTGCACCGCCCGGGCACGGCACAGCCGCGGCTCCTGCGCTGCTCCTTCCCACCGGGAGCCACAGCCAGCTCCGGCCGCAGCTCCTTACTCAGCCTTGGGAGTTCCTGTTTGCTTTTATCCCTCCGTGTTGACTGACTCCCTGCTGGATTCATGCTCCCGTGCTGACACCAGCCCAGCGCTGTCCTGCTTCCACAGCTGTGAAACTTCCTTGGTCAGCCCCAGATCTGTGAAACTTTCTTGCTCAGCCCCTGGATCCATTCACTGCGTTGTCCTGGCACATCACATTTCTAGCAGAGTTTCTCTCTAACCCACACAAACCCTGCTGTGTTATTTCCTACAGACCAAGCTCGTGTTGTTGCTTAAACGTATCCTGAAACAGTCACTAAATTATCTGGACTGTATTATCATAAAATCATAGAATAGGCTGAGTTGGATCCATCAGGATCATCGAGTCCAAATCCTGGCCCTGCACAGACATCGGCACAGCTCAGCTGCCACCCTGGCTCACAGGCACCAAAGGAAAACCAGGAATAGTTACCCAGCTCACCCCAACAATCCCACCATGTGCTTGAGAGCATTGTCCAAATGCTTCTTGAGCTCAGACAGCCTTGGTGCTGTGACCACTGCCCTGGGGAGCCTGTTCAGTGCCCAACCACTCTCTGGGTGAAGAACCTTTTCCTGATGTCATTAATCAGTGTGTTATCATTAACCAATATGGGATCAATAAGTTGCTCTTTGTTTTGCATGGGCTGCAGCTCAGCTTTGCTGGCTGGGTAGACCAGGATTCCTGAGCTGGGTCGCTGCCTTGTTCTGAACCAGTTTGGGGCATCCAGGTCTTGGATGTGACTGCTTCCAACAGCAGTTTGGGAACAAGTCTTTGCAGGATAGGTCTTTTGCTTTATTGTACATGAGGAAAAATCGCTTAAGCCTTTCTCTGCTTAATTGAGGTAATTAAACCTTCTTACCTTGCAGCACAAGGGGCTCATTAATGTTTTTGAAGCATTTTGAAGTCCTTGGAAAAAAAGATGCGGTTTGTTGTTGTGCCATGTTTGGGAACTGTTGAAATTCAGTCATCTGGACTTGAAATACTGAGTTGCACACACAGAAATCTTACACTGGTGTGTGTATTTTGAGCTGATAATGTGAAGAATTAACTGAGAGAGTAGCTGACAACTGTGGTGTTCCTTCCCAGTGCCCTGCTCTGTGGGTGTGGTGTTTAGTTTTTTGGGGGTTTTACTGTGCTTAAGCAAAATTTGCTCCATGTGAAACCTCAGCAATGAAAATGCAGGTCTGTAATGCCATAACATTCAGCAGCTCAGTTAAAGACAGAGAAATGTTGCTTCTTTAAGGTGACCTACTGACCAGCCCAATTTGCCTTTCTGGAGGGGATTTCACATCTGGTTAACAAGTGAAAATTAGAGAACACGCTCTCTTCTTGTAATGAAGAAAACACCCCAGTGATATCCTGTGGTAATTCTGAGATGGAAAGAGACTTCCCAACTGAGGACAAGAGTCTGTTCCACTATGATCAGAGCTTTCTACAGAGTAACTGCTGGCCCTTTCTTTTTGTAGTGAGGGGAAAATAGGAATGAAATCACTTGTAACTTTAAAACAAAGCTAGAGATTTACATAGTACTGAGCCCCAGTGACTTTTAGCATCAGTTTAATTTAGATTTAAATGAAGGCTGGTAAATGAGATCTGTTCCTCTTACGAAAGGCAGTTGGGAATTTTCAGCAGAGGAGTTTGTGAGGGGGGAGATTTTTCCAGACAGCAGGCAGTCTGTGTCTGTGCCTACAGGCAAAGGCAGCAGCATCCGTGGATGCAAGGGCACGGGAGCTGCAGGAGTGAAGAAGTTCAGTGCTGTGGTGCTCCCTTGCTCCTGAGTGTAAGTCCAGGACCAGCAGGCCCTCCAGCACAGTTGTGATATGGGCAGCATAATTAAGCCCCCTAAGAAAAACCTAGAAGTTGTTTCTCAGACCCCAATTTTTCCCACTGCAGGGCAAGGGGGAGGAAGTGTTTTGTTTCCGAAGCAGTTTGTCAATGAACACATGAGTCAGTTTCTGGAACTCCGGATTCAAAACTCGTTAGATGTGAATATAATGTTTTATAACTTTAGAAAAAGTAACCCGAAGCGATGTTGTTTTTCCTTTGATTTGCTTATATAGCACAGTTTGACTGGCTAAAAACGTTTGATATCACACAAAGAGGAATAATGGCAGCACCGCTCGGCTCTGCTGTCACACAATGAGCAGCAGATCTGATCCACCTCAACTGACTGTTCCCTAGGAATGGTTTTGGCATTGGCTGAAAATAGTACTGAGGGTAACTTGCTTTGACCATGTAATGACACTTTGAGTTGCAAAATTACTTTCAGATAACTTGCACTGAAAAAGTAAAAATAGCCCAGTACATCAGACTCATCTGTGTGGAATGTATATATACAAAAATAGGGCTCCTTAATATTTACAGTTTGTCTGGGCAGAACAACCTGTCATGCTACACTCGCCTTCACTTTTAGGCAAACAGTTTGCACTGATACTGTTGCAGGCTGTGTCATTTCCCAGTGTGCAGCAAACATTAGAGAGGCATTAATTTAACCATTCTTTTCCTTGCAGTGACACTCAGAAATGTCATTAGTGATCCCAGACAAAGGTGAGAGGTCACAGCTTTAGAAACAAGTGATTAAAACGGGTCCCAATGTAGCAGACTAATTGATCTTTAGATAATAATGGATTTTTTTTCTCTCTTTTCTCTCTACAGCTGGGAGTGTTCACTCTCCCTCCACAAGTATGGCAACGTCTGCACAATACAGACAGCTCATAAATGACTATGGACCCCCATCTCTAGGCTATACACAAGGGATGCAGGTATAGCTCTGCTTATTTTCCTTTAATCAGATCACTGACCCCACGTTTGCACAGTAGCACGGATTGTGGCCTGTAATCTGAGGTGTTCCTCCCTCCCACCAAGGTTTGAAATCAAACCCAAATGGCAGGACTGCTTCCTCACACATGTCTGGGGATCAAATTAGACTAAGCAGAGTGCTGAGGGAGGTTGTTACTAATTAACTGTTAGTCCCATCCTGTGTGAGTCACAGAGAAACATGTCTTGAATTATGTTAGTAAGGGCTCTAACATATTTTAAAGTTATTTGTTAAAAAATGAATATTTCTGTACAGTTTTCTTCTCACTCTCCCTGCCCAGCTAACTTCTCCCCAAAATATACACCTCAACACTGAAAAAGCAGGAACAGGGTCAACGGTTGCTGTTTGTTGTAATTGTTTTGTTTTTACAGTATTTGATTGAGATTAATCTCCTTTCAACCACAGGGTACCAGCAGCAGTCAAGTACCACAGAGCAAATATGCAGAACTTCTAGCTATCATAGAAGAATTAGGAAAAGAGATTAGACCCACATATGCTGGGAGTAAAAGTGCGATGGAGAGGCTAAAAAGAGGTAACTTTTAAACTTATTTTAAAACAATAATCGTGTCCCCTACACTTTGTGCACTGACTGCTTGTGTCCAACTGCATGACGACTGTGTCCTTTGAAAGGAGACAGCCTGAGCTCCTCATGGAACTGGAAGTATTAACCTGCAGCTGAAACCTTGGGATGCTCTATCTGTGCTGTATTTGATAGATAAACAGTGACAAAATGTGTTTCATGTGCACACAGAGAGTTCCAGTTAATAACTCGACTCCTATTGTGGAACCCTTAATGGATACATTCTTTCAGGGTCCCGGTGACTTACTTGCCCCTTCAATTCCCTTTTCTCCCCAGTCTCCAAAATACACAGCCAAGCATTGTTTACTTCTTCTCATACACATCTCCCACCTACTTGGCCCAGGAATCTTCACTGAAGTGCATTTTGCCTAAAGAAATACAACATTGTGGAAATTCACGCTGGGGCTGGTGGAGAGAAGGTGTCAGGGAAGGCTGTTCAGACTGAGATGTCAAACATAAACGTTCTGTTACCTGCTGTCGAGTGATTGTGGTGTCATTAAGAGTCCACTAGAAAGGGCCAGAGAAGCTTTTAGGGCTGGCTGATGAGTCTCTGTGGCTTTGCTTTGTCAGCTAAAAGGGGTAATAAATGCCCTTTCCTTGCAGTGTAAAAGAAACCCCTGCATGCCCCACTGGTGACATCAGCCTGACATTGTCCTCTGCAGGGGACGTGCAGGGATATTTCTGAAGGAGCAGTGGGACATTCCAGTGCTCCAGCTCCTGAAATGACCCTGAAAGGCCACGGACAGCAGTTGTGCTGCCAGTTCAGTCCTTTGCCAGGGTAACATGGTTACCTTTTCCTCCCTTCCCGTGGTCCTTGTGCCGAGATTGGCTCATGCATTTGACCCGGAATGGGAATGTTATTGTAACAGAGTAACTCCACCACCTTGCAAATCCTTTACATTTACCCAAGACTACAAAGCTTTATTTAAGGCTCAACCATTATGGGAGAGTAATATATCTGCCGTGACATGCAATAAAATGACTAGTAGCTGTTCTGGGAAAGGATGCAATAAAGTCTGCTGATGAGTGGTAAGTGGAATCTGGCCCAGCTAAAATCAATGTTGCTGGAGTCTCTCTTTATTGCATTGCCTGAGTCAGTATTAATAGATCATGAATGGCAATAGGCTAATGGGGACAGCTTGAGAGAGACCAGGGGAGATGCAGACCTTCTCTGAGCTGGATGGTTCAGTTTGGGGAGGAAAAGTTGTTTTGCTGCTTCTTGAAGCGAGTATTTAATTTGTTGGTTAATGTAGGTTTAAGATTCAGTGCTGCCACTGTGACTTGCCTGTGTTGCAAAGAATCCCAAATAAATACTTTTTGCTGCCATCTTTTGGTCACAAACGTACCTCTCTTTCCATTTTGGGAGCCTGATGGCTGAAGGAGCATGTGCAAGTGTGAGAGCAAAAGTGACTGAGGGGAACCACGTGACTGCTGCCTCCATGGCCATGGAGGTTATTCCTGAATAAAGTCCCTGTCCCCAGCTCCACCCGCTCCTACTGACCTCTAAAATTGGCCAGAGTCCCAGTGTTCTACATTATTCAGAGTAGTTCTGCTGCATCAACTGGGCGTCCTGCCACCACATCCAGGTCTGATACACTGCTGTGAGTAGGAGTTTCTGGATCCCACAGCTGCAGCTTTACTCCTCTGTGGCAGTTTAACCCTCTGCAAAGCCCTGCACTCATCATGTCCCAGGTCAGTCCTCCTTGGATGGAAAGGCAGTTGCTGTGACCTGGGCTAGCAGCCTTCTAGAAACAGAAACCATTACCTCTAGAGACTAACCCCCATCTATTGCCCCACTGCCCTTTTTCCACCTTGTTAAGGAGCATGATTGAGCAGAGAAATCACCTTCTATCCTGCCCTGTCAGCAAAACAGAACCTCCTTTGTTGTAGAAAAATCTGTCCATCTCCCATTTTAAAATCTATCTCAAGCTCTGTTCTTTCAGCAGCTCTGTGAACACAAATCTACATTTAGTTCCAGAATCAAGGTCCAGATTGCTGGAACTTCAAGGCAACAGGACTTGTAGTGGAAAATTCCACATTCTGTCTCTCAGATGAGAGTAGATGTAAAGTGGTGATGATTTCCACTGGGAGCTGAGCCAGTGTTAGGAGGTAACTTTTTGCACACACCATAAAAAAAAAATCTCTTATTTTTACAAGAGACACAACTTGTCTTTAAGCAGCATTATGATGCTTGGATTTTGATGCATCCTCAAGGAGAATTATCCCAAGGGACTAAGACTTTCAGAGCTTGCTACAATGACTCCCCAAATAACTTTGTAATTTGTGTCACTCCACTGTAGCAAAATAACTCCCTGGTAGGCAAGATTTTTTTTTTTCCTTTAAGTCTTTGATTTTAAGTAGGTCCACACTGCACATGAAGATCTGCCTGTCACTGCAGACCTATAAATCTTACTGTGCTCTGCTTTAGTCCCTTTTCAATTTATGATGCTAGTTTGGGAGAGCAAACTTGTTTAGGAGCAGCTGATGTTTGGGGCACGAGGGCTGTCTCCCTTTTCTGAGGCCTGCTCTGGTAGCCTTGGCAACTTGGGACAGAAATACATAAACCTTCCTGTGGGCTGTCATTGCAAGTGTGACCTGAATGGGATGATTTAAAACATGTCCAATTCTTTTGCAGGCATTATTCATGCCAGAGGATTAGTTCGGGAATGCCTGGCTGAGACGGAACGAAACGCACGATCTTAGCCCACTAATTCAGCTGCAAGATTTTCCATCTCTTCATGAAGAAAAAGTAACACTTATTCCTTTTGACTCTTGAAACATTCAGACAAATTCCTTTATTTTGAATGTTTTACCTTTCTTGTTTTGCCCTTGCAAAAATGTATAGTTAAGAATGAAAAAAAAAAAAACCAACCAAGGATTTTTCAACTTACTGAGGGTTTGCATTTTGTAAAGACGTTAAAACTCCCTAAAATGTTTCTAAAACATGGAAACTGAAGTGCATGCAGAGGAATGCTCTTTCTCTCTCCCAGGCTATATTTCAGTTCTCTTCTTATCCAGCCACAGCCTCATTCTGTTTTTTCCTTCAACTATATTCACTTATCCCCAAACTGTCAATCTTTCAAAGTTTGACATAAGCTCTAAGGATTTTTTTAATAAATGCAGAATAGCATGCTGTACCTAGTAGTCTGCTAAGTCACAATTTGTCATACAGCATAGACCCTGCTTAGAAATAACCTCCCCCTTCTCTTATTTTTCCTTTTTTTGTTCATTTTGCATAAACATTTGCATGACTGTTAGTGCTTTGAAGTCCATTTAAAGTGCATGAGCTATATGGAAAATAGGGAAACCTATTAAATAATAACAAGGTCCTGGAAAGCTAATTCCTACATTAAGGCTGGAGATTTCAGTTTAAAGTTTGCCAAAAAAAAAAAAAAGGAAAATTCTGGATAAATTACTAAAACTGTTATTTGCATCTTTGTATGTATTTATTACTTGACGTAATAAAGCTTATTTTCATTAACAGTTTGTATTAAAACTATGTACAGTCACTTTAATCAGATTCACACTCCACAAACAAGAACTGTCAAACAGATAAAAATTGAACCTTCATGCAGGAGTTCAGGAAAGGACAAGGGAAGGGGCTGCAGTTTGCTGCTGAGTTTCCATCCATGGCACCGTTGGGATGCAGTCAGTCTCTGGGAAAAGGAGGTGGAGTTCAGGGTCTCTGTTTTCAAAATCCATACTCTGGCTTTGGGTCTTTGGTGAAGGCCAAAACTTGGTGGCAGCTGCTGAGGGTGCTGTCCAAAAATGAATGAGAAGTTCTGGTTAAGCAGGTGGGAGTTGTCAACAGGGTAAAACCAGGAAATTGCACCTCAGCAGTGACTTCAGAGTAGGTGAGAAAGGAAATGCAGCTGCATTTGTTTGTTTAAAATGGGAAACTCAAAATGAGTGAAGATACCAACATGCCCAAATTCAACTGCAGCATGGCATAAACATAATAAATGACTAATTCACTATTATAAAATAAAAAAAAATCTAAATCCTAAAGAAAATGGGATGGCTAATACATACAGACCTATGGATACCTGAACAAAAGAGGCAAACTTAAAAAAGAGTTAATTAATTCACAGCTTGGATGAAGTGGACTCTGTTGCCTTGGGAGGCAGCTTCCAAAAACATTGTTCCTTATCTGTAATGACCCAGTTTTACCTCTGAACTGGAAGAAATGACTGCCCAGCCCTCACTTGAGGAGAGACCCTCCTTCTGGCACCCAGTGCTCAGCACCACTGCAGGTAAGGTCTGTAAAGCTGCTGTTTAAACTTTGCTCAGAGCTGAGCAGGACAGAGCATTTGTTCAGCTGACACATCTGGAGGAGGCAGCCAGTGACTGGTGTCTCTTCCATCAGCAGGTCAGTTCACACCAGCACAACCAGTACCTAAACCTGGTTTATAAAGGATTTATGTCACTGAAGGCATTGCCTGAATAAGGATGGGAAGTGAGAACCTTTTAGTGCTGTTTCCCTCGTGTGCTGGAGCCCCTACAAAGCATCCCAAGGTGTCACCTGGGCAGAAGGAAATCTACTGAATTTTTTTTTTGTCTCCCTTAACAACAGTGGAAAGTTTATAGTTCCTTTCTAACAAGGATTCTTTTATCTTCTGAACTTGGCAGAACAACTGATTGCTAAGTGTGATTAATGAGATGATGGCAGACAGAAGCAGGAATACCTGAGTGCTTTTATCCCTTTACAGCAACAGCAGGTCAGCACTGGGTGTTTCAGCTGTGCCTCTGAAGCCCCACATCGTGTTAGTCTGAAAGGTGTGTTCAGGTCTAATGACACATTTCCCTTACCCCACTAGGGCAAGTCAGTATTTCACATGTTCATTTCTTATCCAGTTGTTGCACCTCTTTAAAAAGCTTTTTCCTTTCCAGGTTTTCCTTTGCTCTTCTTTTTTTCTCCTGCTTCTTCTTCTCTGATGCTTTTTTCTCTTTATAAACATCACTCTCTTCACCTTTGTAGAAAAGATCAACTTTTTCCTGCAGGATTTCTCTGGCAATCTTTCTGTTCTTCTCCACTGATCTTGTTTGATGACACTAAAGAAATACAACAGGATGTTTTTACTGGAACTTTAACCTGTTTATTCTTCTGCTTTCCCTCTCAGTCTGTATATTCCTGCCATTACAGCAAAGAAACTCCCCTTCTCCCGAAGCCAAGAGCATCCTCCTACCAATAACAGCTGGAACTTTTATGTCCAGATGATATATTTTAATAATTATTGCTACTGCACTTGTCAGACTGGCTTTTGCATTAATCTTTAATGCTTCCATATTACCTTGGAAAGCTGCTTGAGTTTAACTTAACTGTGTCTTCCCCTTGTGACAGGAAGCAAAGATTAATTTCAAGGTATTAATTCACAGGAAGTAGGTAAGGGAAATGCTTAAAAAGGATCTGCAGAGTGTGAGCAACTTGTTAAAGGAGAGATTCTCACTCCCATGGGGGACAGGAATGTGACAGCTACAATGAAGATTCATTTACCTGAAAACTACAAACCAGTAAATTCATGGCAAAGCCAGGAAGATCAGCTCTGACCCCAGTTTATTTATCTGCTGACAGCCAGAGGTGCTTCTTGCTGAGATTCTTTACCATAAATATAAACTTTTCCTGGTGCCACGTACACTGTGATTGTGCTTTACTCTGAAAGGAGGCCTGGAAGTCGTGATGCAATTTGTGCCTTAACAAAATAGAACATAATTACCTTCACTACAATCCCAGATGGAATATGCTTCAGGACAACACAGTTGTTTGTCTTATTTGTGGCTTGACCCCCTGGGCCATCACCTCTCACAAACTGTTCTTCCAGTTCTGCCTCAGTGAGTCCAAGGAGATTCAGGGAGTTCCTCTTTCTTGCTGCCTGAAGCATGGGAATGCTGGGCAGGGAAAGCTGCTGCTTCCTCAAAATCCAGGGGGTCCATGCTGACAATTCTCTCAGTAAGAATGGAAAATGAAAGAAACCTGGAATATTCATACAGGAGTGAGGACAGGCTTCTCTGGGATGAAACCTGGAATGGAAGTGGAGAGTGGAGTTTACTATGAGAATCCTTGTTTTCAGATGATCCAGTTTGGCTGCACATCTTACGCAATATTTTCACAATCAGGTTTGTTTTCAAGGATATCTGAACTGTTTCACTGGCATTTGCCCTGGAATATTTACCATTCTGAATGGAATTTTGGTTCTTAATGTTATTAGGTTTCTTAAAATAGTTGGATTATTTTGAAAGGGATCTGGAAAACAGTAAGTCAATAAGCACTCCTACCAACGCTTGGGAAACACTAAAGGTATCAAATATTAAAAAAAGAGAGGGAAGAGAGGTTATTTCTACCTTGGAGTCTGACCTGAATAATGGATAATGAGGAATGTCAAGTCCTACTGCTTTCAAATGTCACTCTGCACCAATCAATTAAAACAGTACATCCTGTCATGCTTAAAGTAGAATATTTCAGCGTGTGAATAAATATTCATAAGAAATTGAACATAAGTTGAAATAATTAAATAATAATAAAAATAATTGAAAATATTTTTAAGCAAACTTTTATTGGCATCCCCTGAAGAAGTTAGTAATTTTTTAACGAAAAATACATGCAGAAAAACCGGGAATAAGCGTTTATTTAGCCGGTTTCATACGGCTCTGCCCGCTTTGAAACCAGGACTGACAGCTCTTCATAGACAGGGTTAAAAACCCACGTTCCCTCGGCCTGTTCCCGCTGTTCGACCCCACAACGGTAACATAAGAGGAAACACAGAAATCCCGGACAATTCACTCACCTCCGCCGGCCCGGCCGCGCCCGCGCTGCGCATGCGCGCGCCGGGAGGGAGGGGCGGTACCACTGCGCTGATTGGCACGTGGGACAGCCAATCTCTGCGCGCGGGGGGCGGGCTTTAGGCGCACCGTCCCCTTCCTCGCCAATGGGGCTCTTCGGGAACCCGCGCGGCGGCGCGCGCCAATCTCCGCGCGGCGGCGCGCGGGCTCTGCCGCGCAGCGAATCAGCGCGGGAGGCGCGGGCCCGCGCGCGCTCGAGGCGGCCAATCAGCGCGCGGCGCTCGGTCCGGAGCGCCCTCTACCCTTCCCACGGTTCGAAACTCGGGGCCGCCAATCGCCGGGCGGGCGGCGCAGGGCCCGCGCCTCTCCATCGCCTCACGGCCGCGGCGGGACGCGGCTGGCCGGGCGCCGCGGGCTCCCAGCGATGCGGGTAAGGAACCGGGCGGGCCCGCGGGGCCAGCGCCGCCGCGTTTGGCCCCGTCCCAGCGCCGCGTCCCGGAGCCGCGGAGCCGCCCCCGTCGCCCCGCCCCTTCGCCCGGAGAGTGGCGGGCGCTCCAGCCAATCAGAGGCGGCGGCGCTGTCAACACCGCGAGAGTGGGGGCGGGGCTTGGGCCGAAGGGGGCGGGGGGGGCGGAGTCTGGGGGGCGCTGGGGAAGGGACGGGACCGTGAGGGGAGCGGGAGGTGCCCGGGGACGGGTGTGGGGGCACCGCGGGAGGGACGCGGCGCTTGTGAGAGCAGGAGGCCCACACGGGGCCGAGGAGGGGGCACGGGCTGAAGGGAGGCGGTCCCGGGGGCGCAGACGTGGCGAGAGGGGTCCCCGCGGGGGCTGAGCCCTTGAGGCCGGGGCCGTTCCTGAGGACACCGCGGCGCTGCGGCCCCGGCTCGTTGTCCCGTCGCGGGGTCCCGCAGAAGGTTCTTGGGGACGCGGGGCCTGGCGGCGAGGGTGCTCCGAGGAGCCCTGAGGGACCTGCGAGGGATCGGAAGGGAGCGGGTCTGGCTCGGGGGGCGATGCGGAACCTCCCGGGCTCCGGGGCTGTGCCGGCCCCGGCGTTTGCGGCGAAACCGGCGCTGATATTTCAGAGTTAAAACACCTCGCGGGTTGTTTTTTCCGAGCCTGCCCCTTCATGCAGCGACGTGGCCGTATAAGGACCGTGCTGTGCTGCGGAGTCGAGGGATGGCGGCTCAGCGCTCCCGCAGCCCCGTTATAGCTCACCAAATATTGTTTTTATTGCGAACAGACTTGTAATGAGGTTATGAAACGAGCCTGTGTCACAGCTAAGTCCCACCCATTGCTGTGCTGCTGAGATAGGCCGCCCGTGGTTCCATCCTGGGGGGGGGACTGATCCCACATCCAGCTGCTCCAGAGACACTCCCAGCATCAGCTTTAGCTGCCAAGTCTGATAACCTCCAAGTTTTCCAGGCTTCTGACCGCTAGAAAAAGAAGAAAGCTTTTTTTTTTTTTTTCCTCCTTCTTTATCCCAAGAAGCTCTGCCAAAGGGATATGTGTGTCTCTGGTAACTTCCTTTGAATTCTGGCGTTTTCAGCCCTACCCAGAGGAGATGGTGTGAGTGAGTACCCAAAAACCATTTCTGCTGAGCCAAACAGGCTCCAAGAAAACAGGGAAAAATGAGACAGTTGTCTCTCAGTTTCCTTCTGGTGGAAATATTTTATATTTCTGTAGCTATCTATTAGAGATACATCTCTATGCACTTAAAAATTATGAAAACATGAGTCTGTACAACCCATCAGCGTGTCTTTGTAAGGCCTGTAAAGAGGAATGGTTGTGCTTTGGAGGTGTTGTGCTTCTTTAAGGCAGCAGGAATTTGTTCTTGGCATTATCACAGGATATTTCCTAATGTCTCTTTTTACTGTCCATCTGTGAAATGATCATAAGGTTTTTCTTCAGTGTTATAACAAGGGCTGAATTCACCAGGGTGTAGAACATGCTGAAATAAGCACTATATAAGAACTGATTAATTAATATATTTCAAGTATTTTCTTAGTGAAAGTAGAAGAATCTTTTAGTCTCTCTACAGCCACCCTACTTTGAGTGCTGTAAGACTATGGCACAAGTATTGTGTGTTTATTTATTTATGATGCTTTCAGTTAACCAGCTGCTGTTTTGAACTGCTGTGGGATTCCTGTCTGACTGCTTTTTTTGTTGTTTTATTAATCTCTAAGAAATGTAGCTCAGAACAGTTTCAAAGCTTTCTGAATTAGTGTTATATAATAACAATGAAGCAAGTGATCTGTGAAAAAAGTGAGCCAGATATTAGACACAGAAATGGCAAAATTGGTCAAGTGCATTTTATTTAACTCAGTGGGTCTTGTGTTTATTATTTTTGGTGAGTGTGTTTCTCCCAGTGAAGTTGCAGATCCTTGGTCACATTTAAATATATTGATAGTAGGTGTTTTCACAGAAGTCTTGAAAATGCCCTGTGGAGCCTCAGATTTAAAAAAACAACCAACCAAACCCCAGCAACACTGTTTTACCTGGAACATTTTGCACTGACACCCTTTCCAGTCCAGTGCAGAGGTGTGATGCACAGTTAGGAATATCTTTGACTCGTAGGAGTCCCAGCAGGCACGAAGTTAACTGAGGAGCTCCTGTTGGCAGGTGTAGCCCAGGGGAAGGGAGAGGGGCTGGTTGTGGAATATTTGCACTTTCTGGGGTGGTTTAGCCGAAACAACTGTCTCTTGAATTCTGTTTCTTCAAGCAACAAAGTCAAATGTTTTTTTAAAGTAAGAAGGTGATTCTTATTTCTGTCTGTTCTCAGGGTAACGTACTTGGGACCAAGATATGGAAAACTGGGATGTGGTGAATTCTGTACAGGAAATCCCTTCGTCTTCTGCAGACTCTGATGTCAGAAACACCCACAGCTCTGTCTGTAACTTGAACTGTGACAGGTGATGTGCGGAAGGAATTCCTAACAAATATTTTTATTATTTTGGGTTTGCTTAGTTCGAATGTTTTTAGAGTACTATTGTTATTAAGGTGAAATAATATGTAAGATTGCAGTATATTTCAGGGTTCTTTTTACTGTCACAGGTATAATCTTGATGAAAGATTTCTTTTTAGAGGAAAGCCTTACTGAAAGAACTGTGAAGTCTTCCTTAAATTCTTAGTTAACTTCCATTGCCTCGTGTCTCTTAGAATGGGGGAGGAAGGAGGGAACCTGTCTTGGCCAAATTGTAAGAGATCATTTTTTGGAAAGCTCATGCGTTGTGTGAAGTCATTTTTGGAGAGCAGCAGCTTAGGAAAACTGAGTTGTTTTTCTGTTTAATGCCTGAGGTATTCCCAGGGAATAAGAAGTGCAAATATGGCCTGATGGCCTAAGTGAGAGGTGGTTCTTGACTGCCCTGTTAAGATGAGAGTTACAAGTCACTCCTGCCCATGTTGCTTCTCCAAGAGGCCTCAGTCCTGCCCTTCCTAAACCATTGCTCCACAGAAGCTCAGCTCTGGGAGCTCCTGACCTCAGGCTCTCTGAGGAATCACAGGAGTTTGATGCAAAGCTCTATTTGTTGATGTTTGTACCAGTGAGCAGCAATATCTGTGCTGATGATCCTGTCTCTCTCCTTGGAAAGCTACTGCATTTCATAGTGTGTAGGATAAGAGCGAAGCACACTGTGGATTCTTTGACATTGCCTTGAAAAATCTCCTCGTGAATTTATCATTTTTATTTCAAGATGATGAGAGGCTCGGTGTAAATTAAGTGTATAATTCTTTTCTGGCTGCCCAGCATATGTAGTGTATTGTTTTGGCCACTGTGTTGCACAACTGACACAATAAATAATTGAGCTGTTTTTCCTCATGTTTCACTAGAAGTCCTTCATCCAATCCCAATGGAGTTTCTGGTTACTCAGGGAATACCAGGTCCTCATTAAAGCCTGGTTCTGTTGAACTGTTTGCCTCCTTTATGCAAGACATCCAGGCCATTGGAAATGCTGACACGGAAATTGTGAAGAACTGTGAGGTAACTGATGTTCAGGTTTATTTAAAAAAAGTTGTATTAATGTATTTGCTCTGCATTTTGGAAGACAAATCTAATGATGTAGTTCAGCAGCAAGATCCATGTATGGATTTATATATACACATATATGTGTTTATTCTTCTTGATGGGACAGATCCTCTTACACGTATGAACTAATCACCTGGCTGGATTTTATTGCAATTTTATCTTAGCATTTTCCACTATTTTCTCTCTCTATCTTATGTTTTACAATACAGATGTGAATATTTTCCCCCCAAAGTTTTTGAACTGAAAAATTTAAACCTTTAAAACTGTAGCACTTAAAACTGATCTGAAGTGATCCTAGAAAATAGAATTTTTCTTTCTAAAATTGGTTCTGTTTTGCTTGATTTATTTATATGTTCCATTTGTAAAGATGTGTAGGTGATTAGTTTGATTCCAGATTTAAAACAACACAAAAAAAATAATGATGGAGTTTCAATGAACTTATTCTCCCGAACACTTTTCTGAAGGTTTTTGTTCTTTTTTATTTTATATGTTATCATTATATTTAGTCATCATATGGAACATTAATTTTCCACACCATGGGCTTGTTCCTGCAGAATTTTTGAGCTTTCTGGCTGTGATCCATCACAGTGTCTCTTGGCAGATGCTTAATTTGGGTTCTCTTTAACACCTCCAGAAACAGAATATTGATGTCTGTGTCCTGTGCTTCAAGCACCAGGCTCCATAAACATTGGCATAAAATAGTTTTTAAACATCAGATTTTGCCATGTTTTAGGAATGCTATACATTTGATTTTTTTAATTAATTTTTTTTTATTGCATATTTGTGCATCATGACCTTCAGCTGGATTGCTGAAGAGTTTCTTATTGAAGTGAATGGTTCCCTGGACAGAGGGATGTTTAATTCTCAATTTTAAAATTACCTTTAATTAATTGAACTGGATCTGCCTTTCCAAAATTCGACTGTACTTTCCTGCCAGCTGTTTCTTCTTTTAGTTCCCATTGATTGACACATTGGGGGCTGCAGGGGTGGTGGGGTGGGAAACCACGGTGCTGTTACTCAGCTTTGCATTATGTCAACACCTAAGTATAGGATTGCAAAGCTATTTGTAGCTACAGGAAGAGGTGAGAGATGCAATATGACTGTGCTTTAATTATTTTACTTTGTGATTTAATAGACAAGGTGGCTACAGCTGCTGAGACTGGTAGAAAAGCAATGTCAGCAACAAATAGTTGCCCAGCAAGAGCAGTTCCACCATCAAATCCAAGTAAGTAATGATTTGGCCATGTGGGTAGATGAGGCTGAATGTTTCTTTTCTCCCTCCAACCCCACACCCCTCCAAAACAATGCAGAGAGGCAGGTAATGGAAGTGGACGACTGGAATGCTGTTTACTGGATGCATATTTGAGACAGCCTTGGCTAATTAACAGAGTAACTGGTAGGAACCATTTCAGAAGAGATTTGTTGATTATCTGTTTTCATTTGTTTTGTTTTCACAAGCATTTGGTTCAGAATGCCCACATGATAACTTGATTTTGTAGGTACAAGATGTTTTTTGTTAACTGTTTAATTTCTGATTTTGAGCCATCGTAGCTTTCTTTTCATTAGAAAATGTTGTACTACTTGTCCAGACAGCATAGCATAGGGAAACCATCCCTGAACACTTATTTAACCCTTCAGTTGAACAGTCTCCTTTCTAATAATGAAAAATGACCCCTGTGAAGGTTCACATTTTTGCTGAACCACATTTATCCTTTAGAACAGGAGAAATGTCTTTGTATGTATAAGAGACAGTAATACTATAAATATACAATGCTTAATATCCTCATCATTTTGGTTGCTGTTTTTCCCTTCCCTTTCCTGGTGCCCTCCACACTAGTAATAATCAGCAGTTCCTGAGTTAACAAGAGGTACTGTCCTTTTATCCTGTTTCTCCTGCCTCACCTCCTCCCCTCTGCCTCCCATCTTGGCATTTTCGTCCCACCAGTGTTTTGTTACCTGTGTTATTCCCTTCCTCTTACTGTAGTGGTTTGATTCACTTGTTGATCATAGTCTTTACTAATCCATTGTGTTGGCTTGGCTGGTTTTTGTCTTTTTTAATAGGAAAGGCTACCTCTGGAAGAGCTGAGGGCGTGGTGCCAGCAGGGACTTACTAACTGCATGAATTGCCACACTAAATACAAAATTAACAGCTACCACTCAGTTGTATGAGTGCATTAGATAAAATAAATGGAGCTGTTCCAAACTTTAACTGCTGTGCCAGAGACCTGCTGAAAACACAGGCAACTCAACACATTCTACTAAGAAAAATAAAAAGACAAAAATAATAATCTATTTGGGGTGGAAAAGCAAGATGCTGCATCAGCATTGACATGCCTGAGATAAGGCTTGCTCGAGGCTGGGTTTCGAGACCAACTGTGCTTATAAAAATACATCTTCATCCTTGTGAAAATAGGGATCAAAAGACCTTGAGTTCATTTTGGAATCAGTGGGGTCAGTCCTTGGCTTATGTGACCTAAACAATAGGAGATGAGCTGTCACCACCTGTGGATCATCCTAAGATCAGACTTTATGAAAAGGATTTAAAACCAAATTTTCCTACGATCCCAAAACTTTAGAAACCTTATCTTATTTTTCCCAGGTTTTTCCATCTCTTGCAATTATTTGTGACTATGCAAAGAGAAGTTAAAATGCACTTTAGCTGGAATTGTAGCCTTTCACTTTTCCAACACAGGGTATTAATGACAAAGATTAAATGTCAGCAGGGAATCTGATCTCCCTCCTCACCCCCAGTTCTGTTTTTTCCCTTTTGTTCTCCCTTCCCTACCTTTCTGACAGAGTTCAGTCACAGAATTAAAGTGCAAACAATTGCTGCACTCATGATTGAAATCACTAATAGAACAAAAAACTTTATTATGGAAGAAAACTTCATCCCAAGCTTTTTGTTTGTTGGTTGGTTTTGGCATAGAAAGACTGAGCTGAAATTCAATTGTTAATTTTATTGCAAGTCAATAAAACATCTGAGGCTTGGTCCTGACTAGAGTTACAAGTAGGTTCCTCTGAAATTGTCTTATTTTTTTATTTCTTACTTTAAGAGAACAAATGATTTTTGTTCAGTTCGTGCTTTCCAGTTGCTGTTCACGTGTGAGTGATGTCCTGTAGTCCTGTGAAAAGACAGGAGTTCCACCTTCTCAAAAATTATTGCAAGCTCTTTTTTTTTTGCCTTTCCTGAGGGAATTAGTTTGAAATATGTTATTGAAAGGAACTCTATAGGCTGGTCTTGTCACATGTAAGAAGAGTTGTGTGCTCCTGCAGTTCAGTAATCTCGAGATAACTCCGGGGAAGTGCTGCCCATGGGCACTAATGGGAAATCCTTCCACAGCCCTTGGCAAAGGCATCACTTGTTTCTCAGAGCTGTTTCAGTACTTCCAGTGCACAACTGTAAAACTTAAAAAAAAAATTACTTATGTACTGAAATAACTCTCTGCAGCCATTGTAAACTAAGTAACCTGTTAAATGGAGTGATCCAGTCATAGGTTTGTTCCATTCCATCGGACACCAGGGCAATCTAAATGTAGATCTTTGTATTATCCCATAATATCTAAATCGGGTATTTTAAAGTCAAGTTTTATGCAAATAATCTTACAGAGGTACATTATTCCTATTAGCATAATAGAGGAATGGTTAATCCTTCCAGTGAGGCATCCTTGCAATCTTTAAAAGTGTATATCCAAGTTAAAAATTGGTTTAGACCTAAATTCAGCAAAACATTTCGGTCCCGTGTCTGTGGATAGTTTGTATTTCTTCAGCTGGCTGGGAGGTGACTGTAGTTCTGAAGGCAGTCAGTGAATACATTCATGCATGTTTCTTACATGAATTAATGACTCCTGAGACCTGGAATTCACTGCATGGAATGAAGGATTGTTCCCATGGACATTTGACTGTTGCGCGCAGTACGTACTGATCTCCTTCATGCATGAGGTGTCTGCTCATCTTGGAGTCCTATGAAATAAGTGCTCTAATTCTGTCACTAATCACATGAAGCATCAAAATATGGATGTGATTTGTGCCACCATCTCATGGCAATCGTGCCTTTCCCTTTTGTGCAGCTGATTCAGGCTGAGATCAGGCAGCTGGTGAAGTTTGGGAGCAGCAGTTGGGGAGCCGGCAGGAGCCGGGGTTTGCCTGCCACGCTTCCAGGCGCTTTTCCACCGCTAGCAATTCCAATGGGGATGCGATCTGAGCTCTTCGAGGAACACGAGAGCATTGTCCATCAGCTCACATCCAGTGAAGCAGAGAGCCAGCCCAGTGCATCCGACCTGCAGCAGGAATGTTGCGGGAGCGACGCCTCCATGAACAGCGGGTATGGAACGCTCTCCACCTCCGAGCTGAACCCTGGCACGGCCAACAGCACCAGCAGGGCCACAGATTCCATGGAGAAAACTTCCCAAGGACACAGGGATGGAGCAGGGTTGCAGAGTGATGCAACTGTAGCCAGTGTTCAAAATAAAACAGAACTTTTACCAAAAAGAATAGAGGAAAATTGTTCACCGGGAAGGAGCAACATTTTAGTTTTTCCTGCTGAATTTGAGCATAAAGTTGATGAAGCTCCATGTGGGAAGAAACCCAGGTGAGTGATAAACTTTCCAGGTATGTTAATTTATTGTAGACAGTTCCCATTGATTAAAGAGCTATTGGTAACTGGGAACATGCAAGAATCGAATGGAACCTCTTGATTGTAAAAAACTTTGCTGCTTGGTACATAAATATATTTGTTTAGCCTGATGTCTCTGCATGATGCAGGTTTGCATCTGCAGTGTTTATTTGTTGTAGATGTGTTGGGGGAAATACCTTCCTTATATGTGTGTGTGTTTCTTACCATCCAGTAAATCTTTAACGTCGTGGGCACAAAAGTTGAAACAAAACCAACCAAAAAGGATAACTGCAGATGAAGTGTGTGTGAACTCTATGCAAGAAAATGAGAAAGTGAAGAAATCACCACTTGAGAATGTAAGCCTCTTTTTATTTTCTTGTGTTTTTCTAATGTTATTCTTGTCACTGGTATTTTTGCAGAGTTACAGTATGTTCTCATCCAGCATATCCTTTCATATTTAGCATTTAGCAATTCTCATTCATATATTTAAAGTTCATGTGGGCAAAGTTTACTTCTTGGATCATTCCATACTCAGGCACACAGTGATTTTGGCTTACTTTATTCATTTCCTAATCTTTGTCTCAACCTCCCCAAGTGGCACATGTTCTTTCCTTGTGGAGATAATGGCCACATTCTCAGTTGAAGCTTCAGGTCATGGCAATTTATGGTGCCCTGTAATTTTTTGAAGGATCTTTTGAAGGATCTGTCAGCTGCTGATGCCTCTTTTGGCACATAAAATTCTTTGTGTTGTTAAGGCTTTAACCACTTTGCCCAGGACAAACATTCTTCCAGACTGGGATTTTAAGTTGCAGAGATTTTTTTGTTTAGTTTGGTTTGGGCTTTTTTGGTGTTCTCAGCAGTCTCAGTTTGAATCAGCTCAAAATACTTCTTATGAGAAGAGTTTGGGTTCCCCCTTGCTCATACTTTTGAGTTAATAATTGTGTATGTTCACAAATCTGATTATTTTGAGGAGGGATGTTTAATCACATATAATATTTCTGATCCAAAAGTCTGTTATGCAACATGATTGCATGAGTAATCATCATACACCCAACTAGGAAGCTTTAGAATGACTTCCAGCATATTCAATGTCACAAACCTCTCTCCTTATGCCATTTCTAAGGAAATAATTCCTGAGACTCTGTGAATGGCTTCTACAAGAGAACAGAACTAGCAAATAGGAATCACTTGATTCAAGGCAGGGTCTGTTTTTTTTTTTTCCTGTGGTCACTTGGAGGATGATCCAGGAAGGGTGAGAGCAGCTCTTTGGGTTTGCTCTCTTCAGTCTTCTGTTGTCAGAGGAAACAAGATATTCCTCTAAGGGGATTTTTCAAACCAGGAGTCCAATGCATCTGCTGTGGTTGGTTTTCTTTTCTCTCTCTGCTACAGGAGAGGGTGCATAAGAAAATTAGTGCCAGAAACTCAGATTTTGAAAAGAGCTTTATCTTTCTGTTCCTTTGTAAGAATGCAGTTGCTACTCCTTCATTTTCCTTTCTTCCTCCTTAGGCAAAGGAAATACCTAAATAAAAACATTAAGAGGGACAAAATAGCCTTGAGGTGAGATGGTAATTCCTGCAAAAAACTTGAACAGCTTTAGTTCTGATTTTTTTCTCTCTTATTTTGTTAACTCAGTGGTTACTATCCTGTTACAGTCCTCACTTGTATGAAGTGTGTGGATTTGTACAATTGTTGAGCTGCACTAATGGAACAAAAAGCCCCAAGCAGAGCAGAAAAGAGCAATGTGAGATGACCATTTTTAAGCAGCTGCCCTTCCTCAGTTGCTCTGCTGTTATATCAGTGCCACTTCTTCCTTTGGTTAAGGAAGAGGAGAGTTGTGGCAAATCTTAAATAATGTGAATTTTTTTTTTCCTGTGTTGGTCCCACCCTTTTCAAAGTTTTGCTTTAATTAGCTGGGGATGTTTGGAAAATTGGGAGTGATGAGCAGAAGGATGTGGAATACCTTGTCTGTCTGAGATGACAGACAGTGGTACCTCCAAATTTGGGATAGGTGGAGTCATAACAACTGAATATATGAAATTCCAATCTTAGGATGAGGAAGGAAGTAACTCTTTATTGTTAAGTCATCTCTATATACTTGTACCTCTTAAGGAACAAGAAAGTTGAGATGACTGTCCAAAATGTGTATTTCTGTAACAGCTAATCCCAAAAATGCTCCACAAGCACACAGGCACTTTAGAGAAAATAGAAATATGTATATATATATATAAATATATAAATATGTCATATATCTGTATAAATATGTATAAAAATATAAATATTTTAAAGTTATGAGGCATATCTTAGCTTCCCTTTCAACTGTGATTGCTCTCAATATAAATTGTGTAGGTTTGGATCATGCTCTATTTAATCTCTTTGCTTAAAAAGAGTAGTAACATTTATGTGCAATTTAAAAAAAATTATACCCTTGATTTTTTTTTCCTTGCCATGTGGTTTTCCTTATAAATTTATTTTCCCATTGTAATTTTAGACAAACCTTACTGATGCTGCTTTGCCACCTTACACTTTTTACCTCAACCAACCGAAGGAAAGTCCCAATTCCTTGGTGTCTGAAGCTTCAGGTAGAGTTAATTTCTTGTACTTAAATTTCCTTTTCTTTGGAATTCTCATTTTTCAGTGCTCTTACTGGAATGCATCTCCAGTAACTCCAGGGAGGTGAGGAGGATTTAAGCACTGACAGGCTTTGATTTAGCATAATTCTGCTTTTCTTGCACCTCTTTTCAAACTGATGCAGCTCCTTTGTATCACTGCTGGCAGATGTAGGACATGCAGCAGTTGTTTTTTTTTTTTTTTTCCAAATTTCCCAAGATTCAAAGCTGAGCTTTGTGTTTAAAACTGTTTCATAACATAATTACTGTTAAAATCATGGCAAGGTATCAAATGATGCTTCAAATGTGAGCATCATTGACCTGGGAATGTGGTGGTTCTTAGATTGCTTTTTTTGTGTTCATGGTTTGGCTTTGTTGTTCTGGGGGCTGGATATGAGGGGTGGTGGGTGGTGGTTTTTCATGGTTTGGGGGTTGTGGTTTTTTTTTTCTTTGATGAAAGCCAAAAAACTAATTCCCATATTTTGATCATAACAGGGTGGATTCCTGTCAGTAACAAACAGGGGCACAGAGATGCAGCCCTGCAAACTGTGTATAATTATTGCTGCTTCACAAGCCACTGAGAGAGGGACACACATAAAAAAACAAAGTGGGGTTGAGTCTGTGTCTGTTCCTCTTGTGCCACCCCTTAGTCCTGGCAGTCTGTCCTTTTGCATGTTACAGAGAGCTGTTCAACACCAAACTGAGGAGTCTGCAGTATCCAGTGGCTGCCTGGGATTATCCCTTGGGTGATACCAGTTTTAAGTGCTACACTGGAATCATTAGAAATATGAAAGTCTGTGATAATTGAGGATTTTTCCCCTCAACACCCATCAGTGACTGTGGTGCTGTGTGATGTGATGCTGGTTATGTTGCCTGTGCCTTGCATTGAGATTTTTGTCACTCCTGGTAACAAATGCTCTAATAAGATCCTTAAGCAATAGATGCAAATAACTAACACAGCATTCTTGTTCAAGAAAAATAACATTTCACTAATGGATTTTGGGATTCCTGTTCTGTAGCCTCGAGCTTGAAATTTGTCTTTTTTTTTTTTTTCTTTTGATGTTTCTTCTTGTCAGGACTTTCATACTGGAAGTTAGATGAAAAGGAGATGTATCACACTCTACCAGAGAATTTCAGAAGTGAGTTTGCTGATGTTTTCTCCACAAAAGTATCACCAGATCAGGTAAACTTTGTATGTGGTTAAAAGTTGTCATGTAATTCCTTGTCATCTTTGTTTTTTTTTTTCCTATGATGGAAAGAACCAGCCCTCCAGAATTTAACTTCTCTGTGAGAACTCTGTTGTTAACTCAGTCTTTCCTACTCTGCTCCTTCATTATTCCTGTACCCCAACTAACCTCACTTGGAATTTATTGACCTTTTTTTGTTATTCAAAAGAAACTCTGTAGGACATGAAAAGTGACTCACTAGTGTATTAAAGGTGCCTCCTTAGAGACCCTTTTTTAGCCTGGGTGCATTGAATAAAGCTGCCTTCTGTCCTGAACTGCTTTATTAGCTAAACCCACCCCAAAACTTTTTTATTTATTTATTTTGGGGATGGAGGATTGTGTTCAGAAAAAGTAATGTAGCAATTTTGCCTGTTGAAGTTGTCTTCTGCTGAGGAAAGGAAGTTGTCATCCCTGAAGGATATTTATCATAAAAGACAAAGGGAAAACAAGCAGATGCCAGACCAGAATGTTTTGCCTTCTTCCCAGTCAAGTCACCCACCAGAGGTAACATGAATTTCTTTACTTCCCATCTCAGTTGAGGATATGTTGAATACAGGCTGGTTTCACATGAACTGGCCCCTGCTGCCACCTCCAGTGTTTTGCTGGAACAGCAGTTTGAGCAGCCGAGGGATGAACCAGCCCGGGAAAGGATCCAGCTGAAAAGAACCTCTGAGAACACCCTGAGTGAAGAGGCACCTTTGCAGCACAGCCTTGAGGATGGTGCAGGGACGGCTCTGCCTGTGCTGAGGCTGCAGCTCATGGAATGCACTGGAACTGCAGTGGCACAAGCGGGATTTTCTTAGTGCTTCCCATGAAACAGGACAGGCACAGGTTGTGGAAATGATTCTTTATCATCTCTCTTTTTTTATACAGCTCTCAGTCCTGTACATAATCCAGTAATGATGCGACTGTATTGTGTAGATAATTCATGAATTGCTTTTGTAACCTACAAAGTTATTGTTTCAACATATAAACAGATATCGTAGACCTTCTGTTTGTGTAAGTGAAATTTCAAAGGTTTTCTAGACAGCTACAGATGTTGGATATGTTCTTTATTAATGGAAACTTAGAAATTTGGGAATGTGTATTGTCATTGAGTGTTACAGGCACCTTCTTATTGTCGCTACCAAATGACTGCAGTAATATTCAGTGTAATGCCTGCAGTGTTATATGCTTTACTGGTGTCTTCAGATCAACTCCATTTCAAAGAAGAAAAGTTAAATCACAGTTTTTTAGCATTGTAACTTATTTCCTAGATCTTGACGTTGGACCCAACCCTGCACATGAAACCAGGTCAGCAGAACCAGGGACGCTGTTTTTTCAATATTCCTGAAGAGATTACTCCCTTTTCTCCAGACTCTATGGCAGAGCCAGGATTTTCAAGTCATTGTGACACAGACTCTTTCTCCCAGACAAGTCACTCTTCTCAGTTAGATGATCCTCCCAAACACCCTGCCAGCAGCAGAGCTGTGCACTTGGACTTCTGGAGAAATCACCCCTTCCAAAGTGAAAACAAGAGCAGCTCCCCTTTTCCAAAGGCATACAGGGATGCTGACCGTGATAGTTCAGTCAGCACTGAGGAGGAAGAAACACTGACTTTAACTCCATCCTCTGTTACTCAGTGTGCTGACAACACTTTGCCAGATTATAGTCTTTCAGTAGCACCTGTTGAAGACCCTGTGGTAATGTCACAGTAAGTAATTTTTCCTTTTTTAAAAGTCAGAGTTGTTACTTTCATGGAAGAAATGAAACAACAATAGTAGTGAACCAAAGAAAATATGTGAATTCAGTTTGCTTAGAACAGAGCTGGACATTCCTGCTTTTTTTCTCCTTTTTTCTTCTTTTTCCCCCCCTTAAAATATAACTGGAGTATAAATAGAGCAGTCATTTTCCACTTCTTACTTCTTTCTTTAACCATTCTATTAATTTTCTTTAGACCACAATATTTAGTCTTCTTTAGACCATACAATTTATTCCAAGGCACAATATTTGTGTTTTGTCTTCCTTGGATGTCAAAGCCTTAACTGGAAGGCAAAACAATTTCCTAGGTTTTATTTGGTTATTTCTCTTTATACATAAAAATAAAAATACATCCTTCTGCATGAGGGGTTTTATTTAGGCAGAGAATTTCAAAGTTTGGGGGGGGGTCTGTTTTCTTCTTTAGAGTCAAATGGTGGGAGAAGCACAGAACTACTGGACTTAGGAAAAATAAATATTCACTGTTGAAGCTCTCATGCTTTGCACATGGACAGGCAGACAGGGCATATATTCCATGTGTCAGGCCCTCTAAGCTTTGTATTGTGTTTGTATGTATTATTTGTATATAATAATCATAATTTCTAGTTGTATTAATGCAAAGAATTCTCTGCCTTAGATGACAAAACTTTCTTTGCTTTCATTCGAATGGAAAAAAGTTTTGTGAGAGAGATTTGTACTCAGAGTTCACTCTGAATGAAATATCCAAATGATTACATATAGATAGCTGGATTTTTTTTTTTTTTTTTAATTCTTAATTTTAAAACCAGGATTAGGCAGAACCTGAGGGAGAAACACGCTCGACACATCGCTGATCTCCGAGCTTACTATGACTCGGAGATCCAGAGCTTAAAGCAGCAGCTGGAGGCAAGTCAGAGAACTGCTTCTGCTGAGGACCTGAAGAAAATCAATCAAAGTCTTGCTGACAGGTGCTGTTTGTCCTTCCTTGTTGTCTTCCTCTTTTGGTGGTGTTCTTTACACTTGCAAAACTAGGCATCCTTGTGTTAGAATGTCTTGAAAAGTTTACGTCACTCTTCAGTTCTGAAGATTTCATGGATCTGTGATACTAATATTTCCCTATTAAATGTAACTTTTGCATTATTTAATGCAGCTGTTCAAGCTGTGGCTGCCCCGTCCCTGGAAGTGTCCAAGGCCAGGTTCTATGGGGCTTGGAGGAACCTGGGATAGTGGAAGGTGTCCCTGCCCATGGCAGGGGGTGGAACTGGATGATCTTTAAGGTCCCTTCCAACCCGAACCACTCCATGATTCTATGAAAATCAGTTTATTTGGCCTGATTGTTGCTGGAGCCAGTACAAGCTTTCCTCGGGAATGGCTGGCAGGCAGAGGTATCCTAAGCAATTTGAATAGGAATGATCTATGTTGTCCTTCTTTACCCTTCATGTGAAAACTCCAGATGATACAGGACCAATGTTGAATTCACTGGGGGGTTTGTGCTGCCCTCTGTGTGCCCCACCTGTGTATTCCATTAGACAGAGCTTGAAAGGTTGCTATATATAGAATATCGATGAGATTTTTGTATCGTTATTGCCAGTCAAAATACATATTGCAAATTTAGACAGCTAAAATACTTCACAGAGTTTATGTCCTTCAGAGTAATTGAGAAAGTGTGTGGGTAGCTGGGACTCTTTTGTACTTCCAGCACTAATGTCTACTTTCAAAGCTGACTTCTGGGCTGTCTTACTGAGTCAAAGTAGGAGGAGGTCACAGGCTGGGCACCAAAATTCATGGGGAGGCTTGAGGAAGGAAATAAGGCTATAAAATGTAGATTTGTTATTTGAAGGTTTGTGTAATCTGTATGTTCTCAATAGGTGTGAGCAGTTGGATGCAGCTCTGAATGAAGCCAGTGCTCGCATAAAAGCCCTGGAAAATAAGAATAATCTGCTGGAAAAGCAAGTGGTAAGTGTATGTTCTTAAATCAAATTGCTTTTTAAGTGAAAGAGTGAGAGAAAAGCTTGTTCACTGTTAAGCTGATCTGTGTTTCTATGCTTTTGTCTTTTTATTTTCAACCTTTGTCTTACTATGTGACATCAGCCAGTGTGTTACACCAGTGATTTTCCCAGCTGAGTTTCTTGGGATTCCCTACCTGAATCCTCAGCACTTTTACTCACGAACCTTTTTCCAGGTTAGAAAGGATCAAACAGAGTTCAAGAGTGAAATATTGTGATGTGTTTATCATGTTTCTCTCTAAATTTCCTAATTTATTGATTTGGTTTTAACTACTTTCTTATTCAAGCTGTGATAAAAGCAAATCTCACCTGTGCTGGGGCAACAATACTCTTTCTCTAAGTATATTTACACTGGTTTTGGCTAGGCCAGACCTCTTTGGGTATGCATAAATAAATGCTGGATTTATTAGTCAAATCACAGGACACTTTGTCTTGTAAGTTGGACACCTGCAGAGACCAATTCCACCTTTCTTAGACATTTTTCTATGCTGGGAAGCAAATCAATCATCTGAGATTAGAGGCTTCATCTCTAGACATTATAAGTCCTGTAAAATAAATACATCTTTGGTGTTTCCAGTCTTCACTTTCATTCTTGAAGCATCACAGAAATGAGCCAAAAATCCTGTTTAATTCATGTCCAGGTGTACCCTTGTTTTCTGTTTACATGATTTCAGGTTGCACTGTGCACTGAAATAAATGATCTGCCGGGGAAGTGTTTGTAAAGGATGTTTTCTCCCCTCCAGGCAGAGTGGAGGGAGCGTTTCCAGGCCCTCAGCAGCACTTCCAAGGTTCTGCAGGAGCGGATCGAGGAGATGCGGACGACCCACAAGGAGAAGGACAACACCATCAGCCGCCTGCAGTCCAGGCTCAAGGAGCTGGAGGAAGCTTTTGAGAAGGCCTACAAGTTATCTGATAATAAAAACACGAGGCTAAAGGAAGAAAACAAAATGTTTCAGAATGTAAGTGAGAAAATGGACAACAGGAAGTCTGTCCTGGGTGTGGAAACTGCTGCGAGTTTCCAGCTGGAAAGTCTTAATGCACAACTAACCCAGCAGAAATGACTCAGCTGACTCCTTGGAGGCTGGGTGACACTAATAGATATTCAAAAACCATTATTTAAGGCAGCTTATGTGTACTTGATAACCCTTCCCATAGTCAGTCTCAGGTATTTATTACTTTTAGTTAATTTTATTTTTGAAGATAGTACGTGCAATTATTTTAGAAAGTTATTTTTTTTCCTCTCTTAAGTTTGTTGGAGATGGACTAAATTTCTCATATCTCATCACAGCTTGATAAAACTGTTCATTGTGTGTGATTTTAGGCTGAATCAAAGGAATTGTTCCTCCAATTCTTCAGGAATAGCTTTATGGAATGTTTAAACGAGTTGGCCAAATGGGTATTAGCTGGAAAATCTACGTCATGCTTTAATTTCTTTTTTTACAATTGAGATTTCAAAATACAAAGTCAGTTTTAAGGTCAATGAGGAATTTTAGTGGTTCATTCATTCAGTTTCTTTAGAGAGAGAGAATTTGAAAATTAGAAATACATTCTGTAAGTAGCTCTGTCTCCTCTTGTCCCATCTATAACTTCTTGTTCCAATTAGAAGATGATAAGAAGAACTTACAGAATGTCCTTTAATAGTATTTGTTATCCCCTGTAGTGCTTCTGCGTGTCGTAGACAAGCAGTTGGGATGATTTTACAGCAGTCTGTTAATTGTGGATGGTCTCAGTGGGAGTTTTTGTGTTCTTTTGTTCTGTTTTAGCTTTTAGGAGAATACGAGTCCCTTGGAAAAGAACATGAAAGAGTAAAGGTAGGTGCACTCCAGTTAATTAAAAAACCAAATGTGATAATGTGCCATAGAATTTGCTGAATTAACTGATGCATTTTGAAAAAAGCTCAGATGGAAAGATCCATGTTTATTTTTACTGAGAGCTTCTTACTCCATCTGCGGAGCCCTGGAGGGAAAAGGGGGAATTTGGAATGTATTATTTTCCAATCATAGACAGCAAAAATACTGCAAAATCAAAGCCAAGGAAATTTAATGGACCCTTTGAAGGTGTATTTAATGGAGTGTTCTTGAGACTGATGTGGAGTTACTTGTTTTTCTTTTAGTGCACTTCTGGGCTTTTCACTTTTTTCTTTGTGTCCTTGTAGGATACATTAAATACAACTGAAAACAAATTGCTTGATGCAAACACACAGATTTCTGATTTAAAAAGGTAACTGTGAAACTTATTACTCTTTTACCAATATGAAATACAGACTATGGCCTAAACAGCTACTCCTAGATAATGAAGGCTGTAGATCTTGCCAGTTTAATTACATTTTATGAAGCATTCCCGTTGTTTGATGTTACTTGTACACACTAAAAATCTTGTTATTTTAGGATATGTGGGTTTTTTCTACTTCTTCTGCTTCCACAGCAACATCTCCTGGTCCTGTCTTTCTAGCCAGGTTACCTGATTTATTTAACTTGGAATTCCAATCCATATTTATATCTGTACTTAGATAGATACAGAGATACATAGAAATGCAGCAGTTTCTCTTGTTCTCCTGCTTCATCCAGGATATCTGAATAAAAATGAGTAAACTAAGAAATATGGTGTATCTTTTGTGTCATTGAAATCATCTCCTAATGCATCTTTACTGCTTCCCCTTTAGGACAATTTTAAAACTTGAAGCTCAGCTCAAGCAGGTGGAACATGAAAATATGTTGAAACTTCGCCACATCACCGAGAACCGTTTGAGAACCTCTTGTGCCAAGTGAGTGAATGTTCCAACAACAGGAAAACAGGTCCTGTGTTTGGAATACTTTTTAACATGTGTTGGCTAAAAGTGGATCAACATGAGGTCAGTCCATAGGCTAAACTGGATTAAACATATGTAACATAATCCAGAGACTTCACATTCTAAGAAATTATGAAACCCAAATCAGTACTTTGGATAGTGGACCAGAGTGTCTCTGGTCTTCCCAAATGAGTGTTAGATGGGTCTCAATTGCTCAGCTGAGTAGGGATTTCCACACTCACTGAAGAATTTGGGAATAAAATCTAATACTCCAACAAGACATTGGAGGTTTTCCATGTGTGTCATTGATTTGAAAGGCTGATCACAACTTTTTATGGTTCTAAATATAGTTTGTAGTTTAATTTATTTAATTCTCTTACCATATCCTGAGAGTAGGGTGGGAGTTCAGTGACAATGCACACTCCAGTTTGAATTGGGAATTTATGTTAAGAGAATTAAAACTGATCTGTGTTCTTTTATTTGTTTGTTTCTTTGTTGGTTTTTTTTTGTTTGTTTGTTTGAGGGGTTTTTTTATGTTTTAAAGACCTGAAAAACTTTGTCCCCCTTCTTTTTTCATTACTTAGTTATGGTTTCTTCAGTGTCTCTCCCAGTTCAGCACTGATGCTGTGAAGCTCAAAATGATAATTAATGTGATTTGTGGACATCCACTTGTATGTATTTTGGTAGATCTGATTTTTGTTGATTACAAAGATGCAAGTAATTTATGTATTAATATATTAGAGAGACAGATTTCTTTTTAGAGCTCTTTTAATATTTCTGAACCAGATCCCTCAACAATGAACAGGAAAAAGGAAGACCTGGGCAGGGCAGCCCATGTTCATCAGGGAGGGGGATGTAAGAGCCAATATGGATTTAGAAGTTAATCTGTCCCTAACTGATCTCAGAGGCTCAAGGAAAGCCTCATTCCAATTGAATGCCCAGCAGGATAGATTTACACAATAGTACTTATGGTTCATAGCTTGGGTAAACAAGACCCTTTTTTTCTAACTATCTACTTTGCTGTGTGTAAAAATCACATTGTTCTTTTGACTTTTCAAGGTAAGAATATAGAAACAGATGCTTATTAGTCAATATTTATCACTCTCACATCATCAGTGGTGGCTTTTTCTTGGTTTTTGTTTTTTGTTTTTTCTTTTTCTAATATTTGGTGTCCAAAGGAAAGCTGGGATCAGATGCTCTGAACTACTGCAGTAATCTCCACCAAATGTTTTCATGTAATTAGTTGGGAACTACTGTTACCCAAACCTTGGTCTGAGTAAGCAGCATTAAATTACAGGAAGATCATCGTGGAGCTTTGCATTCTGAGCATATTGTGTAATTTAGACTGAAACCTCAACATAGGACTTTTTTTTAAAAAATATTTCACTTTTACTTTACAAACATGTTTTAAAAAGCAGTTATTTTTTCCCACGGTATTTACAAGTTTATTGTATATTTCTTTCTGTTTACTGGAATAAATAGCAGCTTTTCCTTTAAAATAAAAAACAAACGACAACAAAAAAAAACAAACAAAGAAAAACTCCAAAGCCTTTTGTAATTTTGAAGCTTTTTGTTCCCACAGCAAGTTGGGAACTCCTGATGTCAGCAGGAGAAAGTGGCTGATACCAGGAGCTGAATATTCCATCTTCACTGGCCAGCCTTTGGAAGGCCAGGAAAGCCCCAAAGATAACAGATTAGAAGAAAACTATATTCCTTCCAGGTGAGTTGGTTTCCTTCAGTATTCACTATGAGGGAAAGTGGAACACTTCTAAAATTAATAAAGTAGAACACTTGTAAAAACTTGTATTGACTAGATTTCTATTTCTAGATTTTGTACTTGTTAAATAGAGTTAAAAAAAAATTCTCAATGTTGTAGGTGCTGTACAATTACTTAAAAACAAAACACTCCATTAAAAATTTGATCATTTTTTTCCCTCCACTGCTTCACATCCTTTAAGGTATCACTCTCCTCCTGAAAAAGATTCTTCACAGGAAGACTCTTCAACAAACACAATAGAAAAGAAAGAAAATGAGATGTCAGAAGCACCAATTATAAAAGCCTTTAAAGAACTTGAAGAAGGAAAAGTGTTTAAAGACTGGGGGACACAGACAGACAAAGAAGACACACCAGCCAGTAACTCTTATTTTTATATTCCTGGGCATGTTTTACTTTGCATATCTTTTAGTTTTGGTGTTCTCAGCATTCAAGTCCATCAGGCTTCAGTGAAGGGATAAAAACAGTGTTAGCATGCAAACTGCTGGAGTTTTTCTAAGAAAATTCAAAATTAGATAGTTAAGTGACTTGTTTAGAATAGAGGGAAGGCAAAGGTTGCTGTTGGGTCTCAAGCTGGAAACTCTTCAATGTCCTCTTTTCTAAGAATATCTCAGTATTTATAAACAGTTAATGGAGCCCTAAGAAAGCTCTGGCTGTACATCCACTTGAGTTTTGTTCTCATGGTGTTGTATTGGAATGTTATTAAGGAAGCTGGTGTGTGTGGGACTGCACTGAGCTGTTGTAACAGCAGGGATTTAGGAGCCTTGTCGTGAGAAAACATCAAGTCTTTCTTAAATGCTTGTACTCTTGGCTCAGGCAGGTACTCCAGCTTTCTTTCTCAAAAGATGCTTTTGTCTGATTTCCACTGTTTCTCTGTTAAAAAAAGGAAAGAAAGGCCCCCACTCTGCAAAGATCCTTTTCCATGAGTTAAGCTGTCTATTCTGTGAGTAGAAGAGAGACTGGAACAAAACAGCACAAATATGTTGATGTGAGGGAGACTTAAGTGCAGCCTTTGTCATTTGTTATTCAGGAGAATATTTGTGAGTTCTCATATTGAAAAAGATTGATTCATATAACAACTTTTTTTCTTTTTAACTAGAAACATCAAATCGACGTCAAACTGTTGGGTTTGTTGAAGCTTCTTTAGTTGCCACCCCAGAGAAAGGGAAGGACCAACACAGACCCAAAAGGTTCAGCTCCCCTTCAGGCCAGAGGTCATCGTCCCTTCCTCCTTCCAACAGGAAACCCAACACTCCAAGTCAGTGCTTTTCTCAAGTTTCCTTTGTGTTACTCGAAAAGTAGGAGCAAACAATGACAGGCTGCTCTAGGAGAGAGCAAAATAGAGGCAGGATTCCTGCATTACTCTGACAGTCTGAAAAGGAGAATGTCTGTAATCACAGCAAATGTGAGAGCTCTGAGTTTATTTTCATTTCTCCGTGTTGTGATGCACTTTTCATCAAATTTAAATAAACACGTAGACAGCTTTGAAAAGCATTCTTTTAAGCTGTAAGCACATGAGTGGGAGGTACTGCATTGGGAGGTTTAAGGTAGATAAACATAATTTGTCTTTTGCAGCAAGAAGAGAGATAATGTTGGCACCAGTGTCTGTGACGTACAGCCCAAAACGATCTCCAAAAGAAAACCTCTCCCCTGGATTCAGCCATTTGCTTGGCAGGAATGAAAACACAGTGACAAGGTACAAGTGTGGTGGTTACAGTTGTGTTCTGATCATTGCTAGAGCAGGAGGATGTTTATTATAGAGGCTCAGTGCTGCTGGTTCTTGTCTAGAAAGTGAGTCATGTGAAGTTTTCTGAATATAAAGCTGAGTTTTGCTTTTTAAAATCTGGCAGGGAAAATGTAGAAGGGATGTTGGGTTTGTTAGTGACACAACATTGATCAGTGACAAGTAGTTAAAGAAGAATTGTTCTGTAGAGTAAGTGCAGATCAGATGTGAATAAAAGTTGAAAGTAGGACCTTCCTACTTGTCCTGGTACCTACAAGCATTTTAAAATATACATAAACTTACCTTTCTGCTAACTTCCTAAATACTATGGTTTCTATCAAAATCTTTGCTTGGCAAAGCTTACAGAGTTTGAGAACACACTTAGCTGTGAGATTAAAGTGTAGGACATGTGTGTGAGGAATAATAAATGTCCAGCACCACTCTTGAGAGTTCCTGAGGATGATGAAACAGGAGCTCAGGGTGTTCAGGAGCAACAGCTTGGTGAGGCTCTGAGAGAAAGTCACACAAATGAGAGGTTTTGGTGTGTGCAAATAGGAGGACATTGGGGCATGGTGCTATGAACAGGAATCAGAAGACTTGCAGTGGCTGTGGGATATAAATAGTTTTATAAAAAAAATTGTTTGTTTAACCAAAAGGTGAAAAAGTAGAAAATTCTGTATTGCCTGATCCCTGATTTCTGACAAGTCATTGCTGTGTGCTTCCTGCTCTGTAGGTTTGATATACTTCTAGATGACCTGGAAACTGGTGCTACATCTACTTTACAGCACAATAACCCAAGGAAAAGGCTCCAGTTTCTCTCACTAGATGATGCAGAAGGTAATCTGTCAAAGTGGGGGGAAAATCTGCTATATTTTTGTACCACAATTCCTTCCACAGTGGTAACAGCTGCTTAACTGGAAAGCTGACCCTTGATTTGACAAAGTGCAACTTATAAAAATCCTCTTTTAAAAATCTTGTCTTATCCCTGGAGCCAGAGATATACCATTCATACAGTATTTTATTTTTATGTATATATGTGTGCACAAACACGGCAGAACAAGAAAAATAATTAAATTGAGGAAGAAGGGCAATACATTTCCCTGTGCTTAACTCAGTTATCCAATGCATATCTTAGGGGGGGTCTATATTAAGATGTACCTGAGTCATACTAATAAAATTCTATTGCTAAACGTTGCATTACAGATAGCAAAGAGTAACTCTAATAAAACCAGCTCTTTCAGATTTTTAAATGACTGATTGAAGCAAATCTTTTCTCACTTTTCTAATCCTTGTCACAATGTTCTGCTTTTGTTTTTATTGATGCATTTATTTAGCCTGGTGTTTGCCTGACAGCTGCTCTGCTTGGTGATATTTAGAAATGTACCAGTAAAAGTAATTCCTAATTAGCACAATAGAGGAATCTGTTTGTTAGCCAAAAAAATATGTTGTGCTACAAAGATCACTTGAAAGATGACCCCTACAAATGTTTTGCATTCTTCTGGGAAGTTGTTTAAGACAAGGGACTGAGGCTTTGCTTCACTGTCCTTGGTTCACATACCGCCACGATCGCGCTGCTTGTGCTGTTATTACTTTGTTTTTCTGTCCTATGCAATCATTTCCCAGACAATTACAAATATAAAAATATAAAAATCCCCCTGCTTTGTTGCTAGGAAGGCAGCATTCAGGTGTCAGACACAGCTCTTGTGCTGAATCCATCAGCAGCGGGCTGAAGAAGGCGGCAGCTTGGGACGAGAGGAGCACAGCTCAAAAATATGAGCCGGTGGCGTCGCCTGGGGAGGAGGACTTCAAATACACAGCAAGGATCACGACTCTGGCTGAAACAGAGAGGCTTTTTGATGAGCTGACTCAAGAAAAGCAACAGGCAAAGATTATTTTTGT